TTTTGTAGTGTCACGGGAAAGAAACTGATGGCAAAATGCCGCATGCTGATTCAGGAAAACCAGGAGCTTGGTAGCAAGTTATCTCAGGGAAGAGTGGCGCAACTGGAAGCTGAACTTGCTCTTCAGAAGAAATACAGCGACGAGTTAAAAGGCAGTCAGGATGGTGAGTGCGAAAATGAGCTGATTATTCATCACTATTCCCGAATTTCCCTATACTGTGGTGTCGTTTAGATTGAGAGGAGGTGCCGCAAAGGGCAGCGTCTTATAGTGTGGTGGCATTCGTGACGAAGTGTCACGATTGAATGCTTTCTTGAGTAACTGCTCATTAAACGGTGTTTCTTCTTGTGATGTGGTAAAAAAAATCTCCTTGTTCTCCCATTTTAGAGTTGAATGACTTCGTCATCCAGTTAGATGAGGAAGTTGAAGGCATGCAGTCAACCATCTTAACACTTCAGCATCAATTAAAAGACTGCAAACAGCTATTATCTCAATCACAGGAGAACGTGAAGGCTTACGAAGATAAACTAAAGACCTCAGAAAAGTTGCTCGCTGAAATGCGACAGCAAAACTCGCCTGTCAGCGTCAAGTTAGAGGACCAAGATGAGCATGTGCAAGCGCAGGCGCAAACGCAAGGGCAAACGCAGTCATCGCAGGCGCATTCTTGGACCGATAGCGCTGAATGTGCGACAGGCGATACAACATCCCCGGTTGCCGCGAAAAGCGAAGAAAGCAAAGAAAGCGAAGAAAGGATACTGCTTAGCGCATCAGTAACTGTCCCGGCTATGAAACCCGCGAGCGTTCCCTCGGCGTTTTCTATTAGCCAGTTATTGGCAACTGACTCGAACCCTGGGAAGGAGAATAAAACCGAGCATGCGCAAGACAATTTAGAGAACGGCGGGAGTAACCATGAAAGCTCGCCATCTGAACCTATTGACATGGGCGAGTCCCCTCTTGTCGCGGCAATGGGAGTGGTGGAAAGAATTGGGAGTGAGCCAAACACTTTCAATGGGGAGGTGACGGGTTAAATTGCGCTTTCCTATCCCGTATTACCCTCCATTAGTCTAAGTTTTAGCCCCACCCCTACTCCACCCCAACATTAGTAGACAGTCATCGTTCATCTTCTGATGCGTATAAAGGCGCATGAGAAGCAGGTCTTTCTTATAGGACGTTTTGATGTCGTAAATTATTAATAAATATGTCTTCTTTTTTGCATCACCTGTTTTCTGTCGAGTACTATATATGGAGATTCGGACAGCTAAATCTTCTTCATGGAAAATCTAGAAAGTCGTAGAGTTCCACTATATTATTTCCAGCATAGAAAAATCATTATTTTAGTATGGATCGTGGGAAGTCAAGGGAATGGTGGAAAGTGTTACTTTATTTACTCTGTGTATTCTAAGGATAAAAAAGCAAGGAGAACATGATCGAACGACCTTCGCACAATTTTGAATCAAACTTCAAAAACGTAATGTACTTAAAACATCAAGAAAGCCGTACGAAAGGACATGGTAATCATGAGAAATGCAGAACAAAGTCACCTAGCTTTACCCTCTAGCTAGCTGTAACACTTGCTAGCTGATGAGCCGATGCAAAGTCGAAGGGGATTTAGAGGGTTTGAAAGGACGTTTAGCGCACGAAGAGCCCTTCCTTAAGGGTGTGTAAAACTACCAAGCACGATCATTGGTAATAGTGAGCACAATATTTTCAACAGAATTCATACCGGCGCAGTTTAAGCATTACACAGTGGCCTTTGCTTTGGGCCATTCTTCCGCATGCGATAAAAGGGTGTTTCCTCGGTTGGAGGAGTAAGGCGATGACCTGCAGAGAAGACCATCAATACCAACTACTTTCGCATTAGTCCTTGGGCTAAAATTCCCACATGGTGCAAGAAGAATTGCATATTCCTGTGAACAAAATTAAGTCTCGAGGAACCTTCAAATGTTGTTCAATCAAACTTCCAACGGAGAATGCTAAAAAAATTTAGAAGTCCTGTTGAAGTCCCTTTGAGGGGTGATTTTGTTAATTTTCACTAATGAACACAAATCTCTACTTAATCGTGACAACGCGTAATCACGAAAACTACATGCATCCATGATATCACACAAACATTATTTCTGTACTTAAAGTAATGTATCTATCAATACTTTAAGAAAAAGGTCAGGAAAAGAAGAGGAAAGAAGTATATGTTATAAACATGCCTTCCCCGGAACTACCCAGGAAGGCTTTTGTTCTCACTTGCATTACATCTCACCCTTTTTACCACGCCTTAATCTTACGATCTATTAATTATACCCTATTAACCGTGCGGTGGCCTTTAATTTCCTGAGGATCCTGTAAAGAACGGTTGAATTCAGATGTGAAGAACGAATGATTTGCTTTACCTTCCTACAAAATGTCGAAGGATTCTCGAAAGGGAGTCGTGTAAACTGAGTTAAATGTTTTATGCAACTTCTCGAGTTTTTTTTTTCGATCGGCTTAATGTATTTTCAATCTCGTTTATCTTGATCATCCAACCCTCCGCTTGAGTGGCATTTCCTTGAATTTGTCTCCGACTCTAACGCCCTATTGTATGGTTTCAATAGGTGGAAAAACTGCATTTTAGGTGGAAAATAAGAATCAGTTCGTCAACGTGGGAGGCTAAAATATATGCCAAGTAATGAGGTTCGTGCTGTTTTGGGAACACAACGACACCCCCTTCGTCGTAATAGTTTTTTTAACGTCCCGGAAATGGATAAGATTCACCATTTTAGATGTAGTGGGCGTCTATTCCTCTCCTTTTCCGCTTCTGTAGATACAAAGCGTGTTTGAGGGGAAGATTTTAGGAGCTCGTCTCTTACAGACAGAGATAAAGCGGTTTGTTTAAGAAGAATATAAGGGAAACTTAGTCTTGTTAGAGTGGGTTTCTTGTGTTCATATTGCTTTTGTTGGCTGTTCTTCAGCGGTGATGATATTCAACGAGTCGTCCAACCGGAAACCGGTTTGTTTTTGTGTTCTCATCAAAAGACAAAGAGGTTTTGTTGAGTGACTATTGTCACAATTCAAAACAGTCTATGCGATTAAATCCTTGTGAGTTCAGTTGAGTTCACTGTTACCGGTCCATGCGTCCGAAACACGATCAAACACTAGAGTGATCAGGGAAAAGATGATATCCTTCTTAGTTTTACCTCAACAGAAAAATCTGATATAAGCCTAACAGGGCCAGTACCAGCGCTTGGTAAAAGTCGTATGGCGTTGTAAATCGAAAGAAGGAAAGAAAGAAAGAGAAATTCAAGCACATGGTAAAGAAGATGACGATCAGACTAGTCTTTCATTGGGTTACCAGAATAATTGAGAATGTTCTAGCACCAGTAAGTAAGTTTTCCGTTATAATATTGAACGACGCGCGATAGAAACCGATTGCAGTATAAATCGTCTATTGATCAAACGCTTGGTAAAAGTCATCATCGCATGGTAGCAATCGTGTAACATTTCGTGAAACAGTTGAATAAGTCTGATTTTCTCGGCCATGTTGAGGTGAAAATGATTTCAGTGTCTCCAGCAAGGTTGATCGGCCAATTACTTTAAAACCTTGAGGAAAGATGATGGAAATTGAATTAAAATTTTATCATATTTAATTACGAGATTCAAGTGAATAATCATATATTAAGAAACTTTCTAATATCGGAGTTTCCGTTTTTTTGACTGAGAAATTTTCCTTGAATCGCTTGATAATCGCGGTAATCATTCGCCATTGTTGAATATTGTGCCAATGTAAAAAGCGCTTCCGGTAAGGCGGTCTTAGTAACACTGCAACGCTATTGTAATGAAAAGGAATGCGGTTTTTTATTGAACGCCACGGAAGGATCTGGTCAAACAATCTTTGAATTGAACATTTTTCGTCTTTATTCACAAATGGTGTAGAGTCAAGTCCATTTTTCTAAAAGGGGAAGTGTGGATGTCTCCGAAATGTTTCTCTGAATCCATATGGTGGTTCAACCGGTAACGTAGATAAGTTTGGAAATCTGATCAAGACGTTTTTTTAATGGGTTTTCCCCAGTTGAAACAACCGGAAGGAGCCGACTTAAACTCTTTATGCAATTTATCTACTCCATACCATAAGAAACGAATCAGTCTAATTTCAGCGAGTATTAACTAAGTACTGTGAAACTCATAAAACCGCGAACACCAGAAAATTTTTAAAATTTATTGAGCTCTTAGCGGAAAGCCACTTGGGCGTGAGAAAACGCAAACAGCTACAGAAATTAATCTGTGGTTTTGAGGTTTGCTCTTTGTCCTGAACTTTACTGTGGTTTGACAGTAGACAACCGAGTCCTGTCAAAATCAAATCAAAGTGTCACGGTTTTACGAGTTTCTAAGAAGTACAAATCGAATTTCATCGAGACGTTTTCGAAGATCCCGACAAAAGTAGAAAGCGATTCTGAGAAAAACAGATCTTACTTTTGTGCTTTTGTCAGATGCCAAAGTAACGCTATTGAAGCGTGTGGAGTTGCCCTGCGACCGGGAAATATTGACACCACAAACAATCCGCTAGATAGTGAAGGGACAGGGTCCAGTTGTATAAAGGGCGGATAACGCTTTCCAACGGATAAATCCTTATCCGGCGGATAAGTAATAGCAAAACGTGTAGCGTTATCCACCGGAAAGAGTTTTCTCCAGCTGATAATGCTATCCAACCTTCGAACAAGTCATCTGGTCATCTGGCTTCGTCATGCGTCATGCGTCAGCCAGCTTGCTGCTTTTAAAAATGTTGTGATAAAAACAAATAACAGACAATTTTTCGTTTAATTTTACCTGATCAAAGATCTTCCGATGAATCGGGAGAGGTCTCTGAGACAAACCCTAAATGCTGTGTAATTACAAAAACTTTGCGATCGCGGAACGTCGACAACGAAAAGACTGCGTGCATATATTCACAGTCGTAAATACATTTTACTTACAGCACTCTTCACATTGAGTGTCGAAAAATCAAAACTAAAATAATCCCAGCGACCAATAGGAACAAAGGTTTATATTATCATTAGCCAATGAGAACTCAAAGCGAAACAAGCAAACTGCTAAAAGCGCGGGAAAACGCGAATGATAAAGTCGCATTTTTTTCAGTTTTGCATTGATTGGTAAAAAAATCTTGAAAGGATGGCGCAACTGTTGAGACAAAACGTCGACAAAATGGTGGAGCTGATACCTTACCATTTGATATTTTAAAAAGAATTACTAAGGCTGTTGAATTCCGCTCTGTAGAAATGAATTCCTTTTGATCCAAGCCAAGTTGCAGTTTGCTTGCTGATGTTTTAAGAAATGTAACGAAGAAGTCAAATCTTGCATTTTATGCTGACACCAAAATAACCAACTAAATATTTGTATGTGTTATTATAATTTTTGTTTTGTAGGTTGCCATAACAGCGATTGCTGTCCTTGTTTTTCTGCGCACTTTCTACAAATACAGAGATGGTATTCAATATTATTACCTGTATGCTATGTTAGGGGTAAGTGAAGTAACTCTCAAGATCTGAATAATAATTCTCTTTCCTATTTGTCAATCCTTTCCCTGTCTATCAGTGTTATATCAAGATAAATCCTTGTCATTAATAGGACTGGGTGTTTATTCTCACCACCTGTTCGCTGGGTAATTTATAGAGCGCTATTCGATGGAGCGTCGAAAAACAAAATCAAAATAATAATTTAATAATAATAATTTTATTATAATAATATAATAAAATAAATATATAAATAACGGTCAATCGGAAGAAAGGAAAATACTTTTAAAAGCCAACCGAGTCATGATTGGTTTTATTTTTGGCATCTGATTGGTTTAGAGAGTGGCGCGAGTTTTCTAGACCAATCACAGAGCGAAGTAAAGCAAACCCAATGCAATCTCTAATGACTTTCGAAATTGAATTGAAAGTGACTGGTTACATTGATAAGATCTCGACTGTCATATTTTAAGGAAACTTTTCTTACCTTTTATTTATCGAATTGTTAGGACAGTTTGTGTTGGTCACGTGGTACAGCCTCGGTTCTCTACGTCGGCTGTTCCCTGATACTCCTTCCAATGTGTCGCAATATGTTGTCCTTGATCAGGAATTTCAATAAGGTGAGGCTACAAGGTCAGCTTTTCTTTGTTGAGAATCTTTATCGCATTTTCAAAGGACTGTACTGTACTCCGTCTATAGAATCAAGTGATCATAAGCGATTGCGAAAAAAAAGCTATTCTAAAAACAATCCGCCATAATAACACTACCAAAATGGTTGCGCTGTAAAACTTACTTGCTTACTAATAAACTTCCCAAAATGCGACTCATGCGCCACGTGCTCGCTAACTAACCAATTTAAAAATATCTTAGCGCGCGCTCACTGATTGCGGTATTTCGCTTGTCTTCCTAACATCATGAGAGAATTGCCCTGAATAAACAATTGGTATTTACTCTAAAGGATATTTTCTTTATCAAATGTCGAGTTCCGAGTAAAACCCCATGATTTTTATAAACGCTCCAGATATGGCTATCGACTATATTGGTTGAAACCCTTACAACGACATCCCTTTACGAGCAGGGATAGATAGATGGCAAATTGAGACTTAAGAATTTCCCAACATGTTTGACTCTCACAGAGTTCTTGAGTTATGACTGTGATCAAAATGTTAGACAATTAACTAAGATTACACATATTTCACAACTTACATAGAATAGTAATGCTGAGTCATCAAAACAACAGTTACGAGAACTGTAAGGGTTACCTTGAATAAGAAGCCAGCTTTCCAACGTATGTTTTTTATTTGCACTTCAGAGTATAACCCGTTCGTTTGGACGCCTATTAGACAGAAGCATCTGGTTTCACAAGGCATGTGCAGCAGTGATCATCTTGTCAGCTGGTGGGTCACTCAGATAAGACTATAACCCTTTTCCCTTGTCTACATCACCTCTCGTCAAATTTCCGAAATACAAGTAAAAAACAATTGCACGATTGGCATTTTTTTTGTCTCCTGGCTGAATTTTTATTTTTACTTTCTCTCTCCTCAGGAATTCATATCGGAGCCCACATTTTAAATGCCAAGAGATTTTCTGCAAACTACAGTGATGAATTCAAGGATTTAAACTTTGCCTCCTATCCAAATCAGGTAAACACTGAACCACAATTGACATTTTAACTTTGGTTTTACGATTAAATTTTCCTTACCGCCACTTCGTGGCATCTTAACAGGCAGTGTTTTTTGTGTAACTCAGATTTTCCATTTTATTATTTTGCCTATCAATATTTAGGATCCACTGAAAATGTACCTTACCTCAGGTAAGAAACGCGATATTTTTTCACGTTTGCCCTTTTAAAATTTCGATCCAACGTACCTCTTGATTAACGATCTTAGCCAATATTCCTTTTTTTAGTCAGTGGAACAACTGGAATATTGATGACTCTCGTCTTACTCATTATGGTACGTCCAATGTTGTTATCGGATAATTTATGATGTCTTTGCATCATATATCACGAACTTCCTCTTTACGTCATAGCCTGTATTACTATAGCTATCTGTTTCGCTTATTGGAGTTTTAGGTTAAAGAAGTGTATACTGCATATGGAATTAATATATTCTAAAAGCTGGGCGGGTATGGCTCCGAAAGAGTTTTCAGTAAGTTCCTTCCTCCAATAATATCTAAATATCTACGTTACGAAGCTAAGCGATTTGATGACGTGGTTTGCAGCCATAAATCCGATGTTTTCCATGATATTTTATGTCTTGTAGTCATTAAATCTCATATTCATTTGAATTTGGTGCAAAAGCTCCCCGTGCGGAATCCCCAATGAGTAACTGATTTATTAATTTATCAGCCCCCCTGCTCGCTTATCAACGCGTTTTAAGAATATTTCTTCGAATTCTTTTTTAGATCGTAACGTCTATGGTTGCTGTGAGGTGGGTTTTACCAATTTTAATAATAATATTTTTTTACTTTGGCCCTTTGTAGTGTTTATTTTTAGAGCTTATGACAATCTCAGCATCACTCAGCTTCAATCTCTTGTTTGTTGTTGATCTCCAGGCGCGCCTCATATGAGATCTTTTGGTATACTCATCATCTCTTCATTGTGTTCTTTTTACTTCTACTGGTCCACGGTCTCGGGTGAGTCGATGATGCAATTTCCAGATATAGAGCGCTTTACAATTGAGTTTCGTAAAAAAAAACATACAAAGTAGCTACAACAGGCAAACAGGAGAAAGGAAAATACCTTTGAAAGCCTATGAGCTCTCAAAGTAAAAACATCTAAATTGCCCAAAGTGCGGGAAAACGAGGGTGATCAAGTCGTGATTAGTTTTAGTTTGCATCTGATTGGTTTAGAGAGTGGTGTGAGTTTTCTAGACCAATCACAGAGCAAAGTAAAGCAAAACCAAAGCAATCCAGGAGTTCTTTCGACATTCAATTGGAAATTGTTCTTAGTAAACAAAATGGAACAGTTTTTCAATTTGAACTGTTTTTCCTGCTGGGTTATTTTCACACGGGATTATACTCGATAGACTAAACGGCTAAGTGCGCTTCAAATCCTACTGACTGCGATTTATGACTCTAAAAAAGGGACTTGTCAAGGCATAGTTACCTTGTCGCTTACTCGTGATTTCCTTTGCTTTTTTTCATCCCTTGACGATCTCTCTGAACAATTGGGAGCTGCGAAAGTAACATAATTTTTAACTCAGATTATGATTTTTATGATGATTTTAGATATATGA